GGAAAGGAGGGGGGGGGGGAGGTGATGGCCGCTCTGAGGCTCGCGTCCTTTATTACTCAAACCGCGTGCGAATCGATGGAATTCGGTCGATGATGATCGCTTGCGGGCCGCTCGCCTCGCTCCGGCGCAACGACGTCAGAGACGTACAGTACGTAGCTAACGGTGCGCGGAGAGACAGCTCGGGGGCGTCCCGTCCCAGGGCACGGGGAGGAGGGCGTCCTGCCGAACGGGGGGAGGGGGTGGAGGGGGCGCCTCCTCGAGAACCTTTGGACTTTAGTACATACTCGCTCGAAGCTCGGCGCGCCGGCGAGGCCGGTTGGGAATAGGCCCTATCATCTTACTCGAGCAGAGTTGCGCGCCGCCAGCGGAGCAGCAGAGCAGCAGCAGCAGCAGGGCCGAGTGTGTGTGGGTCGGACGGGGAATCGAAAGTGATGGGCGAAACTATCCCGGGGGAGAAGCGGGGAGAGAGAGGAGAGAGGAGGGGTAGCGGGCCGTGGCACGCGTGCGCTCGCGTGCGTGCGTGGCCCCGGGGGACGGTGGTACGGCCGCCGCCACTTCCTACGTCGTCCCCCTCCGCCTTCCCCCCCCCCCCTTTTTCGTGTCCCCACGACTCCTTCTCTCCGGGCTCTCAAAACTAATCCCGCACGGAAATAATGTGACGTGGCCCTCGTCCCGGCCCTTTGGGACACTCTCTGCAGAGCGAGTCGAGCGAGCGCTATTCCGAGGCTGGACGCTGCGCGCTCCGATTTAGCTTCCATGGTTCGGCCCCCGCAGCAGAGCAGCCCCGCGGCGCGGCGACTATAGCGGCGACGAACAGCGGACGAGCGCAGGGCACACGGAGCAGCCTCCTATTCAATCTGCCGCGCCACGCCCCGCCACGCCCCGCCACGCCCCGCCACGCCCCGCCACGCCCCGTCACGCCACGCCACGCCACGCCAGCTGGAGCGGGCAGCCATCTATTTTGTATGCGCCGTTAGAGGCCTTGCCCTTCTTCCCCTTTGCTCGTGACCCCCGCGCTGCTGACGCCGGCGGCGCGGCGCCCCCACACGACGGGGACTAGCACCATCGCGTGACGTCAGCCAGACGCCGGCCGTCGTCATTGTCACCACCGACCGACCAAAATCAGCCGACCATAGATGGACAGTGACAGCGCCGCCGCCGGCCGGCGCGGCCCCGTCCAATCGGCGCGCGTTATTTATTCAGCCATCGGCGGCCTGGCCAGCAGCGCCCCGGCAAAATTAAAGCAAATATGGGCCGGAGTCCGGGCCAGAGCCGGGGCGGGGCCGTCCTGGCGTGGTATGGTGGACATGGCGCGCACCCATCCTTGTGGGTCCAGCAGCGGGGAGGGCGTGTGGTGTTAGTCCATG